AATTGAGTGTTATTCCCGAGACAAAAATGTGCTCAGAGTTTAAAGATAATTGCCCCTTATTTTGATGGACATAATTTTTACAAGCTAACTGAAAGCATTTTTGCACCATCACATAGTAACTGGGTTTTTTTTGGTAAAATTCTAGTTAAAATACTAAGCAGAAAATATTTTGCCTTTTTTTCTTTTTTAAAGAAAAAGTAAATTTTTTTATTATCAGCTTTAACTATCATACTGGTATTTAATAAAACTCTGTTTATATCTATGAATTTTGGTATTTATCTTTCAAAATACAATCCTAGATAGACCATGCCACAAGAACAAAGTAACAGAGTCACCAGTAGTGACTCTTATACTTTTAATTGTTTGCATAAAGCCTGACAGCTTGACTCTGTGATGGACAAGAATTCCCAGGAAAGAAATGCCACTCCAAAAGCTTTTATTTCTGAGAAGATGATGAACTGATAAACATCCATTAATAAGAATACTGAAGATATGCCATGCATAAAAGGCAACATGAAACATTGTGCCTTAAGCACAGTGCATAAACCAATGTACACCAGCTGATAAACCACTGTCCTCACAGTGGAGACAGTGCATGTGTGTGTGCAAGAGTGAGCATCTTTATACACTGCAAGCACAAATGCCTCCACTCAAAAAAAATTGCAATTAAAATAATTATCCAGATGCTCTGGGTATTTGGACTAAAGATATACAAAAATAATCTTTTAAGCACATACGATTGCCAACACCATCCATTCTTTGTTATGGAGATCACACCTGGGAGTTCAATGTTAGAGAATGCTAGAGACAGAAATAAAAATAAACTGAATTCTCCCCAGTAAACACCTTGTAAATTGATGATACACAATGAATAATTACTACATTTGCTTAGCAGGAAGAGGTATGTTTTGGTTGCCCAAATGGTATTTCCCAAATTGATCACAAAATAAAAAACATGATGGATTGTTGTCATCCTACACCAAAAAGCAACCTATGGGACAGATTACGCTTGTTTCTTTGATCTTTTCCAAACAGATTTCACTCAATAAACTGCTTATATGGCTTTATAATCACATCATACTAGAGGCTGTTGTTCACTGTCAGGAAAATTTTGGGGGGTGAGAAGAATGAAGAGCAACTAAAAATAGGTCCACAGGGATTTCCTGAAGACAAATAAAGAAAATTTCTGAACTTCAAGATGGGTCAACACAAATTTGTCTACCATTGTCCTAAAAGGAAAATTTATCTGAAAGCATCAACAAAGATATTCCTACACAAGCTCTACTCTGACAAAACCACAGTGTAAATATTAAACTTTTGATTCAATGAACAATTTCTATCAAATCTGAAAGGGACACAGTTTAAAGTAACAGTGACAACTGCACTCTGCCTAGCTCATATTGGTTCCATTGCTTGCTCTTAACTCAAATATATGCTGAACTTGGAAGGAAATGTGTGATAAATAAGGGGGCTGAGGAGGAATTCCCTGTTACGTGGGAGAACTGCAGCAACACAGGACTGTTAAAAACAAATGGCAATAAGACTGGGGATAATAGCTGCTAATGCAAGACGTTATACACAATGTAGGAAGGTGATGAACAGGGTGAAAGCTTGGGTGAAAAAGATATTTTGTTAATATATTTGTAAATTTGGAGCCATGTGTAGCTTTGAAATCTATTTAAGGAACATAATAGTACCACATTCCCACCACGACATGCACTGGTTCACATTTTAACTATAACCAAAGACTTGCAGGCCCCACTCATGTGAGTGTGTCACTATGTCTGAAGGCACTGAACTTGCTGATCTACCTTTAACCACATTCCAACACATACAAAGTGTTCTTACACAATCAAAAGGCAGATGATTAGCTAATAAAATACATTAATATAATATCAGGCACAGACAGAAGCAACGAAAATACATTTCTGCAGAAGAGATTAGCATAGATGTTTCAATGGATTAGGGAGTTTCAGTGACAGAAGGTATATTTAATATATAAAATCCATATAATGAGAAGCAGTGGAAAAAATAGGACAACTGTCATCAGTCCAAGAAGTATCTTCATAAAAAAAGCTGTCAAATACAAACACTTCTCACTAACAAAACCCTCTGCAACTGAACAAAACAAATTTAATTCAGAATGTACAGTGTACCTCATCACGGATTTTAAAATTACAAATATCCTTCAGCAACTGGATATCTCCAAACTGAAACAACCTCCTCCTGTTAAATAACCCCTGCCTGATGTTTATGATCAGTTGAACATAAACATTGTTGTTTTATTTTAGCAAAAGGACAGTTAAAAAGGAATACCCAGAGGTAAACACCTGAGAAGGGTAAGAACTTATGCTGGCATAATACCAAATGGTAATAACTTGGCCATGAAGAAACTGAAATGAAATAACCTGGTGTTTTCAGATGAAAATTCACAATTTTGTCTTCAAGACGACCTGGCTGTTTCCAATAACAAGGGCTTAAAGTCAAGTGATCCAAGGATATTCCCCATTTCCAGTCATACATCCTAAGAACACAATGAAATTTAACACTCCTGCAAAACAACTCTATGTTAAATCCTGTAAAACTGCTCGCTGAAAAAATACTATACTGGCTATACATGATAAGAGAAAAATACCTGTAAACTCAGATATCAATGAATTTCCAAAGCTTTAAAAATTATTTACACGGTTCCAAAAAACCATGGATCCTCATTCAAGCTATCAAGACTCTGAAGGATCCTTTCCAGCAACGGGTGGGGCTGCTTAAACCCTGTTAAAGCAACAAACTCTGGAAGATACTTTAACTTCCTACCAATATTCCTTATTCCTGTTCCTTCCTGCAAAAATTGAGGAGAGAAAAATGATGATATGGCATGCCTTACAATCACAGAAAATAAATAACAGCCTTATCATCTCTGCTGCCTCCTGGAATTTGTTTTAAAACTCCCTGTCAAAAAAACTCAAGAAAATAATACTGAAGAATAACCAATGCATACGTGTGATATACTAATCAATCACAGGTTCCTTCATTGGCCTCTGTCACTGACTTTGGTAAATTTTATACAAGAACCTATTGAAAACACACACAAACTTAGCAAATACATTTAGAATATTTAATGTTTTGTTTCATGGGGTGTTTTTTTCCAAGCCGTGAAACTAGCAAACTGCATCAGGAAAGTTTGCACTAGGTAAATGAACCAGTTCATAGAATCACAGAATCATCCAACCCTTGATCCAACACCGCTGTGGTTACTAGATCATGGCACTGAGTGCCACATCCAGTCTCATCTTAAAAACCTCCAGGGATGGTGAATCCACCACCTCTCTGGGCAGACCATTCCAAAGCCTGATTACCCTCTCTGTAAAGAATTTCTTCCTAATATCCAACCTAATCCTCCCCTGGCAGAGCTTAAGCCTGTGCCCTCTTGTCCTACTGCTTGTTGCCTGGGAGAAAAGACTGACTCCCACCTGGCTACAACCTCCTCTCAGGGAGTTGTAGAGAGTGATGAGGTCACCCCTGAGCCTCCTCTTCTCCAGACTAAACAACCCCAGCTCCCTCAGCCTCTCCTCATAGGACTTGTGCTCAAGTCCCTTCACCAGCCTGGTTGCTCTTCTCTGGACCTGCTCCAGCACCTCAATATCCTTCCTGAACTGAGGGGCCCAGAACTGGACACAGCACTCCAGGTGTGGCCTCACCAGAGCTGAGTACAGGGGAAGGATCACTTCCCTACTCCTGCTGGCCACGCTGTTCCTGATCCAGGCCAGGATGCCATTGGCCTTCTTGGCCACCTGGGCACACTGCTGGCTCATGTTCAGCTTCCTTCACTCTTAGATTAGACTAATTTGTACTTCTTAAGGAAGCGTAAAAAATCTGTTCTATTGTCAGTTGATGCTCCATCAGGTCCATGTTTTCTTCTCAGCTTTTACTAATTAATATATTTTTAGTCATTAAATACAATGGCGTTTTATTTTGAGTGTCTTTTGCAATACTCATGTTCAACAGAAATGCCATTTCAATCGAACTGAAGTTTCAAAATACAGAAGAAATTAATTGCATTGCTTCATCTGAAAAAAATACTTTCCGTTCTTTCCCGTCTCCTCCTCTTTTCCTTCTATTGATTTTTTAACACCCTCCTCCAAAATACATACAATGTATTATCTTTTTCCCAAAAAAGCCCATCATTAAGCACATATGTAGCTCTTAAGCCAAGAGCACTCCTAGCCTAGGAAGCCCAGACCATAACATGACGAACATTCCCTTTCTGGACAAATGTATACTTAAATACTTATAAAAACTAAAAAGAAGATGCTAATCACTGCCAATTTAGTGATCTTCTGTGTTTATTGAAAGTGATATCTAAAGTTTACTCTTAATTACTGTTACTTTGCTTTATTAAAAATATTAAATTATTTGGGGGACAAAAAATTTTGTTCATCAGATAAGTAGTTTTTTTCAGAAAAAAAATCCTTTTCATTTTGAGCTATTATTCACTATTTCACTTCACACTGAACCAGAAATCAATTATTTACAAGGTTCTAATCTGAAGTTATTAAAAATTGCTTTATGCTCTCAAAATTCCTCTTTCTTATCTTTCTTGAAATGAAAATACCTATTGCAATCGAGACTTAATTGCAACAGATGGAGGGCAATTGCTAGTATAGCTTTTTTTTTTTTTTTTTTTCTTTTTAAATTCAAGTGCTGAGGGTAGTAAGGAACATACATATATATATATTTGCATATATACATATATTCACCACTGTATCCCTATTTGTAGACTGGAAATTTCAAAGTAATTAAATAGAAAAATATGGGCAGCTTTTGCATGTGGAAAGTGAATGTACTTATAGAAGCTCTAAGGAAATAATCGCTGTGCTAATACAGTGCTATGGCTGTTGAAAAAAAACAAGTGGATGTGATGACTATAAATATACACACTATTCTTACAGAATTCAGGACAGTGTATATCACTGCATTCTTATTCTGCCTCATTTAATACTCACAGACAGACTGTAAGAAGGTTCCAGTATCACTGGCACTGACATCTTCCCTTGAAGATTCAATTTTGTTAAGTAAAAAATCTTTTCTCCCACAATCCTCTCTTTTTTCATGCGACGTACGCTGTACAGTCTAAAGCGAACTGCATAATTCCCAATCATCTCAGACTCAACGTGATTAAATTTGAATGTCTCTGTGAAGACAGGGCACGGTCCCCGCTGGATGCTGGTTTTTGCTCTCTGCTTCTTTATAGGGAGAAGGACTAGGTGTACTTGCCACGAGCTTCCACCTGTCCTGCTGTATGTGGGAATGTCTGTGACAGCTGTCACTGTCACCAAAAGCTTCTGTTCCTGTGAGTCATAGTCAAAAGTCACATCCAGTGTGCCATATTTAGCTACTGGCTCAGGATCAAAAGGTTTAGGAAGCTGTGAAGATGATCCTCGAGCTGACATATCCTGAAGAAGAAGGAAAAAAAAGTCATTTATTTATTTATTTATTTATTGTATTCTATTATTAAATCTAGTGTGGAAATGCATGGCTTTCTTTAGACAATGTAAAGGCACTATGATCCTTTTGTTCATTTCATAAACAAGGTTATCAAACACCAAAAGCCCAAGGAGAGGGCTGACTAGCAGACAAGAAGAAATCAAAAGACTTTACCTGGCCAATACCACCAAAAGCCAGGAGCCAATCAGACAGAGCTCAGACTGAATTAGGCTGCATTGATGATCTCTTCTGTGCCCATATGTTAAAATGTATATACATTTGTTAAAAGATAGAACTGCCTTATTTCAGTGTGAGTATACACACATTTTTAAGTTAACATATTACAGTGTTTGAAGAGCTGGCTAATGACTGAGAGCAGAGTGAGATACCAGCAAAGAATACAGGAATTACAAACCTACTTGCATGTGCAGCTCCTCATCACAGAATCACAGAATGGTTTGGGTTGGAAGGGACCTTAAAGATCACCTAGTTCCAAGCCCCCTGCCATGGGCAGGGATGGCACTCACTATCATGGCTTAATTCATGTAATTTTACTGGAACTGTACAAGATGCATCTGTTTTGAACACACCTTCTGAACCTTCTGCAGACTGCATCAGTCCTAAAACTGTATTTTAAACTTAAAATTCAGGTTGTTTATTGACACTTCAAATTTTGAACAAAATACTGATCCCCTATATTTTTAGAAATTTATATTAGTTAATTTGACAGTGATACTGAAACAAAATATTTACAAGCACAGGTCAACCTACTGCTCATACAATAAGTTATCCCAGGTATGTAAAACGAATATATTTCAAGTATATCTTGTACGCTTGCTCACACGAATGAATGCCACAACAAAGCCTTTTGTGTTAAAAAATATTCTGGTTTTAATCTGGTTACTACGTAGCTATGGGAATTCATTCCTCTAAAAGCTTCACTCTTCAAGTTTTGAGTGGCTATAAAAAAAGCTGGCAGCATTCTCAGTTTTTATTGAGTATGCTTACATTAACAACTGGAGTGACACAAAACAGGAAGAACTAGGATTAGATTTCTTCCAATCTATCCAGATCCAAGGACTACATGTACACACCATGTCTTTATGAGCAATGAAGTTAATACAGATCATAGCTGATCACCAGGTACACAAAGATAGCTCGCCACTGGAGTACCTTGCAACTGGGCCTTCCAGATCTAGTACCAACACCCCAGGTATGCAACATCAACTTACCAAAAGGTCTACTAAGGCAGAAACAGCTGTTGGCACAACAGGACTGAGCTTAACATGTACTTCAATATTTCAGGTAGCAACAAAAGACAAATTTGCACCAAAAGGAGCCTCTTCTGCACGTGATATCACTAATTAGACTTACCCATAGATGCCAGTGCAGTAACTGGTTGTTAAAGACATTTCAAGCAAACATGAGTCAGAAAAGACAATTTCTTCACAGAAAAAAACATAGATATCATTACAGTTAGAGTAGAAAATATGAAAATGAAGTGGACTAGCCACTATACCATATCAACAGTTAAAAGAAAAATCTTCATAGTTTGTTTTTTTTTTCCATAAAAGTTGTTTTACATTATGGAGTCTTCAGTTTGAAATGCATTTACAAAACTTATGTTTTATTTAGGTTGTTTGAAAAATTCTGCAGAAGAATTTTGACCACAGTCCTTAGAGTGTGAAGTTTTCTAACTGGTTTAAAAAATACTTCACTCTTATTGGAAGCTTGTTTCAAAGTTAAGGTGCCATAAAGGTAACTACAGCAATCTGAACAATCTGAGATGCTATTGTAATATTTTCTGACAAACTTTTTTAAAAAAAATTAATGAGATGCAATATTAGTGTCCATATAACCCCGTACAGATTTTTAGATCAGAAAGCTCTGAAAAGTGGCATTGCATATGGCACTTTAGAACACTTAACTATTTCCATTTACCTCCGGACTAAGAATGGCTGTGCTATCACTTGGCACATCCTCTTCGTATCCTTTGTTATGAAAGCTTTCTATTTCGTGTCCCGTGCTTCCCTCACTTGGGCACTTATATGAACATCTCGGACTGTTGCTACACTGGGAATATTCACATTTACTGTCTCCGACTTCAGAAGGCGTACAGGAAAGATGAGGAGAACCACTGTCATCCTGGTATGGAGGCGGCTGCAGTTCATCTAGCGGAGGTGTTCTTCTCATCCTCTGTATGCAGTTCGCTGAGAATAAGTGAAAATTCTTTACTTACTTTCTGATTACTTACTGTTGAAACAGTTCTGTGGAAAATTAAGTCTAAATGACTGGACAGAGTTTTTAAAAATCTACATATGTCTTTTTTTTTTTTATTGTATGTTTCAGATCAGATGACAAATACTACAGAAAAAAAATTTGCTACAAAAGGAAATGAATTATCTCAGATGAAAGAAATTTAGATAAAAGCAAAGTTTTAAGTGTATAGTCAGAATGGATTGTGTAAACCATATAGAAATAAATATAGCACAAATACAACATGACAAAAATTCTAGGCATGGACTTCAGTGATGCTTACCTTGCAAAAACCTTTGGATATCTTAAGTCAGGTTCTGTGCAGGTTGAAGGTAGACCAATTATGGAAACAAAACGCACTCCCTAAAGCCACGATATCAAACTGATCACCTCCCCTGCAGTTGCCCACCAGGGAGATATCAAATTAAACTCTGAAGACAAATGAGGTACTAATAAAGGCAGCCTTTCACACAAGTGAACTCTGCTCACTGGTGAACTGAACAAGTGAAGCAGTGTCTCAAATTCTTTATTACTTGTTAAGGAGAGCTAAAGGGTCTGGAAGTTAGACACTAGATCTAGTGGCTAAAGACAGTGGAAAAAGGATCATGAGCAATCTTGTGCTGGGGATGAATACTTGATGCTGACATCTTTGCTTCTCACACTAGATAGATAGATAGAAATGTGGTTATACATCTCCTCAGAAAACAAACCTGATGCATGGCTACAGATATAGAAAGCTAATTCAAAATAATTACATTTCAAGTTTTTAATCTCTTATTTTACTATGCAGCATTACACAGTTGAACAGAATTGGGAAAGGACAGCAAGGTGTGCAGTAGCTGAAACAAAAGGAACAAAAGGATAGGTGAAGACCTGTGTCACATTTTGTTTACCTCTTCTGTAAAGGTTTTAATGAAGATTTTGATGCCCCTCACACATAGAATTACCTTATACATAAAAATTCCAAAGTAAAAATGTTTTCTGGTGTCAGACATAATACTTGCACTCACAGAAAAATCTACCAAACAAGGAAGTTAACAAAAGTATTAACATTAGACTAATGTAAGCTTTGATTTCAGATTCTTCAGATATAGAAACTGATCTTTCCCACATGACAAAGGTGGTATGTTTTAGTTTCATCATCAAAATTTTGTATCCAGGATTGCCCTGACTGTATCCTAAATTCTCCAGCCTTTTAACTTCTTCAGAGGTAATCACCATTTGTTCCACACATCATACAAACAGACTGAGTATGCATAAGAGTTACCTTTATGGAGAAGGCCAAGAACAGAGTCACGTGGCTCTCCTAAGAAACAGCCTTAAGCAAAAGGCTCTCTTTAGCTCTCCATTCCTTTAGAAGGCTGGGCTGTATCTGACTGTGGCATGCTGGAACACTTCACAGCATCTAAGATTTGATGTAAAGCCCAAACCAACATGGTTTGGGTGCACACTGCCCATGGGAAGCACTCCCACACACACTGGCTAGAAGGGAGACAATGTGCACTGCTGGGAAAGGACAGAACAGTTCATTATGGAGCATATCTACTGCACATATAAATACAGGCCTCAAAGATAACTGGGGGATGCAGGGCTCTTCTCTATTTCAATGGCTCCCAACAGAACATCTCTGAGATTTAGCTAAGGCAAATGAGTAATTAAAACACTACAACGAGATGAAACCACTGTCAGGAACCCCCTCTTCTCTGACAAACCCACCAGAGTCAGCCTGCCCTTCAGAGTGGTTCCAAATTGCTGTTACAGCACTCCTGCTCTTAGTTTGACCAGTGCCACTAACTCTTGAAACTCCAGTTCCATGGGGCTGGAAAGCAAAACAGCCAGCAGGGAATCCTATTCTTGAATTGCAGTCATCTGTCTAGCAGATAAACATAAAATCTTACCTATGAATATCAGATAACTTGTGCCCATGAAACCAGATAGGCATAATTTTAGAATCTAAACTGATATTTTAATCACAATAAAATAATAATACATATCCTTGGGTTCTCTATACCATGAAAACTGGGCTTCCTTCTCATAATTTATATAATTAAATATTCTAGCAAATTCAGAGCAACAAGATTTCTGCTCATTGTTGCTAAAAGGCAACAAACAGCATTAAACAAGACAGTAACCACCATGCAGCCCTGACTTGAAATCTTTCTTTTCACTTGTAGTCAATTCTGCAGAGTTTTTGCCTCCTAGCTTTTGCACAGCCTAACAATATGAAAGTGTATCCAGGTAACTATCAACATCATTATTGTCTTACATTAGTAAATAAATGACTGTGTGACTCACTTTTTTCACTTTGATGAACTCCATTATATGCCCCTATGGGAAAACTGTACAGGCTGTGTGACAGAAAGAGGTGCTTTTAATGTAGGCAGGGAAGATGTGAAGAAAAGAAAATTCTTATTAACAGCTGTGATTCAAAAACCTCAGAAAAAGCTAAAGCACTGGGGTAGGTTTAAACTAACACATTTTTGAAAGTTTAGTCTACCAAACTGAAATAGCTCATACATTCTTACAACAAGGATCTGGGATTAAAAATCTAAGGACACCTCTGTCTAAACACGTACAAACTGGTTTTGAACAAAAGCTTTATCAGCATAAAAAGATATCAAAGTTTAAAAATTAATTTTTAAAGTGAAAATGCCTAATTTTATATTAGTTTCTCCCTTCCCATAGTAAATGATGCAATAAAATGATTTTTTTGTTACAGCTCTCTGTATATAATATATAAAATAAATATAAATATATATGAAGACTGAATATATATACACATACTGAAGATTTTAATTACATTAAGATATTGCAATGGCTGATGATATCAAAGACAAATGATACCAGTGAATACAGCAACATAAAATACCTGATACTGGGTATTTTCCTTAAAAATTACACAGAAGGAGCAACTAATTTCAACAATCAATCTGTCAACGCAATTTTGCATATGCATCAAAGTTTAACATACAAAATCACTGCTAGTGCCTGCTGGCCTAACACTGATTGTTCTGGAGGAAAACGTTTGGAGCTGAAAGAAAAGCATGATCTGAAGTGTTTGCATATTTACCTGTCAAACCCCTGTCTAAAATATACCTTGTACCTTTCATTTAAGGTGTGAACTTAAGACACAGGTACACTTGCGCATACTTTTGTACTGTGACAAAGCCAAAGAACACCTTACCAAGACCACTGAATGTGGCCAATAACATCTGCTAAAGAGTTACTCTCAACAAGCAAATGGTTACCCTGAAAATCTAAGAGTAATGGTTGAATTGTTCCTTTGCACATTTCCAAAAACACCTTCTGCTCTCAAATCAGATAGAAAATCATTTTTGCCAATTCCCTCAATGAAATAAATCATATTAAATGACCATAACAGTTCGGACTAGACAGGGTGAAAACCAAGCCAACATACATCCCAAAAGTGGAAGAAAGATACAACCACAAAGAAACCAAACCAGGTTTTGAGGTTCCTACCAGAAAATGCCAGAACAGAGGAAAGACAAATAGAAAGAAAGATCTCATATCCAGCTTTCCAGCCAAAGTATGTGAAATGACTTTGCATTGTCATAATATGAGTGAAACTAAATTTGTTTAGTAACAAACATTTGGTAAGTCCTACATTGAGAATTCAGTGTATTGCTGTCAATAGGCAGATTTGAATAATAAATTTTTAAAGGGTTAATTACTTTAATAAAAATTGTCTTCCTTCCTTAGTGGGCTGGGAAAACACTCATATAGTGGTGATAGTAAAGGCCTTGCTTCATAGCTAAAGAAATCTGAACTGTAAGTGAAATACCTGAGAAACACAAGCAGATTAGCATTTTGCTGGTACACTCAGAAATTGTAGCATGTAAACTGTCATTAGTACATTTAAGTCTGAAGTAAATAAATGTCTTCTTTTTAGTACTGTTTGCTAAACAGTGAAGGGTAATCTGTTTTTATAAGTCCCTGTAGGACACACTGCAAGTCAACAGGAGATGATACATACCTTGCAATCAATCTCAAGAGACTGTCAGTAAAATCTGATACAACAACAACCTAGGCCAAACTGAGTATTCCTGGCACATACAATCGATAGCTGTGAGAAAATACACAAACTTTTTTGTTATGTGGAATCAAAGTTTAAAGACGCAAAAGTTTACCAGAAGAAATGCTGTCAGTTTGCAGCTACTATTTGAATTTGCTAATTCCAAAGCTCCTCACTTCTCGTCTCTATCCTGGTCTCTTGTGGACCATGCTAAGCTGCACAGCATTTCACCCCGCAGCTGGTGATGTTCTTTCTTTTCCATGTTTTTAGTGTTTAACCTTTGCTATCTTAATAATTTTCCCAAAGGTTCTCCGCAGCAGCACAAACCTAGCCCTCTTTGGACCATATTTCCTGAATAATTCCAAGAACACCTATCTCTTAACATATGGGAAAAGAAACCATCCTTGTGCCTTTAATTTCCTTGTTTCATAAGCAGTCATTAACTACACTTTTGCAGGTTTGATTTTCTCATATATATTACTTCTTTAAAAATTCACACTATTGTGGGAGGCAACATTAGCCCAACGGTTCTTTTGGAATCTGTTTTCCAGTTCCTTTAAAACAAATAAGCACTATATAAATTAGTAATTTCTGCAAGTCAGATTTTGTAATTTTTAGAATATCTTCATATTCAAATGGTACCTTTTCTTTCTCTAATATGTCTCCACTTACACTATGTTACAAAATTATTTATTTTTTTAATGGAACATAAATTTCAAGTTTTCAAGCCTTCAAGGGGTTCTATGTAAATGTTAAGACAATTTAAATAAAACATAAAATGAAATACATGTTTAAAAATTAAAGAAACCTTTCTTATTCTGAATGATTAAATATCCTTAGAGATTTCTGATAAGCAGCACAGACAGTCCAAATGGAATTTTCGTGTTTGAACTTTTTTACCATCCAAAAATATTATGTTGA